ACGGCGTGGGGGGGGGGGGTGCCTGAGGTGTGATGGCGGACACCGGACTGTGCTGTCAGCGGCTCTGTCCGGCATCCAGCCCAGCTCACTGATGTCACTGGTTGCAATGAGCTTGACAAAACGCAAGCCAGAGCGTTCCCGCTCAGCTCCTGGCAACTGGTGACGTCAGTGAACTGGGCAGCACCCCACAGAATGTCACAGGTTCCTAAGAGCTCTTAGTAACCTAGGACAATGTGGCCACCCACCTGGCTGCTCCCCAATGAGATGTCGCCTGAGGCAAACACCCAGGCTGCCTCATTATAGCAACGGCCTTGATTAGTGCACATGATTGTATTGTTTCCATTTAGACAGACCCTGTCTGTTAGCACTTGCTTGAGGCAATCATAATCTGGAAGAAAATGCATCTGTAATGAACAAATGTGGGTAATTACTGCACATATACTGTATAATTACAAACTACAGATAGAGAATCCTGCCATTAAGGTCCTTGTTCAAGCACTTCCTGTTATGGGGTGACAACTGTTTCCTGGTCATGCCCCTGTGTTGCCACCCTGTCACATATACCCCTGGTGAAGTCTACAAGCAACTGTGCTGTCACAGATTGTGCAGACGTGATCCACCATCATTATCAGGAAGCCAGTCCTGAGCAATGATGTGCAGCTGGTGCAAGTGCATGTAGACAGGAAAGTCTATAAAAGGCTGGAGGAGATCAGAAGCAATGACATTCAAAACAGGATGAAAATCACTTGAAAACATGAATAAAAGAACATGGCAAGTATTTCAATCAAGCAAGGCGTTTGAAAACAAGAGCCATGCCCATAGAGCAGTAGACCTAAAGTCAAGATTTGACTTGAGGTCCACTCTAACACTTACTAGAACATTATTTAATATTGTTTTCACATTTTCAAATATGCACTTTGGAAAATACTTCACATGCAGGAGGGTGATCACTAGATGTTGTACTTATCTGCATCAGACCATGTAATCAGCAGCTTTGCTCAATGACTTTGGTAAAACCATCAGACACAGACCTTCCAACATGACCCCGTCATACTCCAGCAGGTACAAAACACTCTGCTATCAATGAAGGGTTTGCTTAGAGTGCATCTAAATCTAAGAACAAAGATTAAATATACTGCATCCTACCAGTTGTTAGATGTGGTGGTTGCATTTGCTTTCTTTTTTAGCCTCTCTTTCTTTTACTTTACCTGATAATCCTGTCTATAACACACTTCCTATCCTAGGGTGACAATTCTCACTCGCTTTACTCTATCTATGAAGAAGCAGCAATGCCACTGTTGAACAAGAAATCTGCAAGAACTAAAAAACACGCTCCCCTCTACTAATCTCTATAACATGGAGTGTTTTGTAGTTCACAGAGGTGAACTGCACTGGACTGATATCATTGTTGGAAATAACACTGCAGAGCGTGCAGGAACGTACACGCTCACTGGATTTCTGGTATTTTTGCACTTATAAAACAGATATAACAAAGTGGCATACATCACAAAAGAGAGTGCATAAGTGCATTGTTAGGGTATATATGCACTTTAATTGTTAGGTGAATATAATAAAAGAAAGCATAGCGATGATGAGGAGCAGAGCATTTTGTACCTAGCTTTCTAAAAACTTTATGCAACTTTGTTGAAGACTTTAACCTTCAGGTCCAGCTTAGAAATGTTAAACATAGATCTTTATGGCAACGCAGGCTTTCATATTATATCATATAAGAGGTCATTTCACTAAAACCAACAAAATATTTTTATTTAAAAGATATTTTATAAAAGTGTTTTATGTGTACAAACCCTATTCTCCTCGCTAAGCAAATAATTTATTAGGATATTACAGGGAAAACAAGAAGAATTTGACACTTCTGAGCATGCTGGTTTATTCTCTTTCTAAATGCCCTCTGCTTCTCCCTGTGGTTCATGATCATGCCTCTCCTCCCAATGGTCTATGATCATACCATGCCCTGACTCATCTCCCAGTAGTCCATGATCACCTCATACCCTGCCTCTTCCCCCAATGGTCCATGATCATCCCTTGCTCTGCCTCTTCTCCCAATGTTCCATGATCACTCCATGCCATTCCTCTTTTCCAAATGGTCCAAGATCATCTCTTGCCCTGCGCCTCTTCTCCCAGTGGTCTATGATTATCCCATGTCCTGCCTCTTCTCCCAATAGTCCATGAACATCCCATGCCCTGCCTCTTCTCTCGATGGCCCATGATCACATACCTTGTCTCTTCTCCCAAAGGTCCATGATCACGCATGCCCTTCCACCTCTCCCAATGGTCCAAGAACATCCCATGCCCTGCCTCTTCTTCCAGTGGTCTATGATCATTCCATGCCCTGCCTCTTCTCCCAGTGGTCTATGAACAGCTATCACTCAGCCACCACACAATTGAAATACCATCTTACACTCCGTCTTCCCCAAAATGGTACACTTGATCAAATAGAAAGTGTCCAGAGGAAATATTGTCTTAATAAGCAGTAAAACATTCCACGGTGTTATGAATCACTGGTGCATTAATCAGGTGATGAGCAGGCATATGTTTGCTAGTTACAAACAAAGAAATAAAAGCAATATATTTATTTTAAACACAAATTATGATAACCTCTATTGGATCTCTGTTAGAGAGAATATGGTAACTTTAGAGAGAATTCACTGATTGCTAAAACTTGTGAGGATATGGTAACTTTAGAGATGAATCATTTAGTTACAAACCACACAGTGAACATCTACTACCAACAATGTATCTTTCAAGTCTGAGTCCTGTGCAAATTAATCCAGCACCTTGCCCTAGGCTATGTCTTCCTTACGGTTGAGTTGACACTGTTACGGTGTCTTTAACCCACATGCGTTAATGTGTTTTGCTTAAAGGCAGCCGAACGCACCATATCACACCAAAAAGCAGCATGTATTATTTTTGTAACAAAGCGCACCACCACACATGGTAATATGTTACCACACGGTGTGGTGTGCTGCATTGTGAGTATGTAAGGAAGGTGCATTGGGATGCCGAAGCATAGAAGTGTGAACCCAGCCTAAGCCAACTTAGACACTCCATTCCATAACTTATTGTCCCCACTGCTTTCATTCACTGACACTGGCACCCTCTTTTATATCTAACATTCATCATCTTTGAAATGTTTCAAGTTCTTTCTCAGAAACAAAAAATTCCTCACCGTGGCTTCTGTTGCATGAAAAGTGCATCAGTCACTAAAGAATTCCAGGTCGATGAATTGTTCTTACATTGCCACCTAGTGGCACGAGTCAGTAGTAGCAGAGATACATGTGAACAAAGATTGTTTCACTTCTTATGCACCATTTACCTAATAACGTTTTTTCAGCCCCATTATTTGATGTTTCTATCCAGTTTTCTCGCTTCCCATTCCTAGATGCTTTTTCAAGCACCTTTATTGATATAACACATTGGGCAGTAGGATTTATTACATTTACAAATTGGTGAATTGTATATTTGCCAGTGATTTGCAGGAAAACATTCTCTGAATATACTTACTAGTGAGAAAGTAGGGAATTAACTTTAGCCGGGAAAAAAAAAATCACATGCAAGCAGCTAAATACACCGTGGGAATACCAATATGGGATCTATTTTACCAGCAAAAA